GTTGGCCTACTGTAGGCCTATGCTATCTGGCTATGCTCCATGCCATAGGCTGTAGGGTTGTTCATTTAGCTGACAAGATATGCAATAAGTGCCATTATTTTATAGCAAGAAGAATATAATTGAACTTAGCTGAATAAAATAGAAAGGATATTTTTCCCATTACGGAGCAAGTGCGCATATGAAGTGGCTATGTTGAGCATAAAAGTGATCATTTAAAACAGGTCCTATATGCTAGATTTAGAGTTATTTGGCAACTTTAGTTGTGAATGATACAAACCTTAGAATGTCTCAGAAATCAACATAAATGGGCTGCATGGTGCGAATATAGGCTATTGATGATTTGAGAAAGTAGCAAAAAAAGCTTGCATTCTGTTCCTTGCCTCATCAAGTGATCAAATGGGCAGGAGAAAAAAGACCTGTCATCTGAATGCACTCGAATTAGTGAATGGAGGCCACGCGCTTTCCCACCGGCCGTTTTGTAGGCTTCTTCGGTTTTATAGTGGAGCATGTGCTTAATATGAGCAGCTGAGAAATAAATATAAGAACACTTATTTCACTCCATGCATCAACCACTGTTTGAGGAGCATGCTCTCGCTGCCCGACAGGTGATATTCCGCACAAACTCTGCATGGGCTCTCCAACCTTGTTCCTGCAGCTACCTAGTGCTTAATTTGGAAACCAAGTTGAATCTGTTCGGGAACATCGATAGTAACATGTTTTCGTAACTTAACATGTTTCACTAAACTGTTGACAGCCCGTCTGCGCGCTCGAGAAAGGAATGAAGTAGAGTGAGGAGGAGATGGAAACGCAGGGTGGTGAGATGTTCTGAATAGCTAAAGGTAATGTGTCACTCAATTAAAATAAATAAAGAAATCCCTATTACTAGGCTATTCAAAATCAAACACAAATTCACTAATTGTGGGCTAACTGTAAGCCACCCTGCACAATCAATGAACCAACAGCATTGTCTATGGTTATACGTTCTCTCCCAGACTCATGGATAGAAATGTTTAAGCGTAGCATAAGGTAACCAGTCCATCCAGTATGCATAATAAAACAGTCCACATTCGAAGGCAAGTACTCCAATTTTATTTAATTTTGGAGTAGCCTATAGGCTAGACCAATTATGTACCAAAGACATCTTAAATCAGTTTTGTTTTATGTTTGTCTGCTATGCATAATATGCGGTAGGCTATGTATTGTACAAAGGCATGACCATAAGTTCTAATATGCGTATGGGTGTGTCACGATCGTTGGTTAGAGATGAGGACCAAGGCGCAGCGTTGAAGGTGAACATATCCTTTTATTACTGATCACACGATCAAAACAATAAACGATAACGTGACGTCTACAGTTTAACACAAACCGAAATGAACAAGAAACCACAAACACAAAGTGAAAGACAGACAGTTAAATATGGCTCCCAATCAGAGACACCCAGCTGACACTCGTTGCCTCTGATTGGGAGTCACTCAGCCCAACATAGAAAATCAAACATAGAATTACACACCCTGGCTCAACATAACATAGTCCCCAGAGCCAGGGCGTGACAGTACCCCCCCCCAAAGGCGCGGACTCCGGCCGCGCCAAACAACCACAACAGGGGAGGGACCGGGTGGGCACTCCGCCTCGGCGGCGGATCCGGCTCCGGACATGACCCAGGCACGGGTTGTGCTGGACTGACGACGCACACCCCTGGCTTGATGCGTGGAGGAGGAACGGGCCGGACCGGGCTGACGAAGCGCACCCCTGACTTGGTGCGGGGAGCAGGAAGGAGCCGGACCGGGCTGACGACGCGCACCACTGACCCGGTGCGGGGAGCTTGGATGGGCCGGACCGGGCTGGCGACGCGCACCACAGACTTGGTGCGGAGAGCAGGAACGGGCCGGACAGGGCTGACGAAATGCACCATAGACTTGGTGCGGAGAGCAGGCACGGGCCGTGCCGGACTGACGACGCACACCACTGGCTTGGTGCGGGAAGCTTGGATGGGCCGGACTGGGCTGGCGACGCGCACCACAGACTTGGTGCGGAGCGCAGGAACGGGCCGGGCTGGGCTGTCGACGCATACCGTAGGTTTGGTGCGGGGAGCAGGAATAGACCGGACCGTACTGGGGACACACACCACTGGCTCTACACCGGGATCTGGAACGGGCCGGACCGGACTGGCAACACACGCCAGTACCTCTCGCCGTGCCTCTACACCCTCCATCCCCTCTTCTACCAGTGGCCCCCGTAACCTGGCGGCCTCCTCTGCAACCCCGCTGGACCGCTCCATAGCGGCCTCCTGCTGCCCCGACGTCGTGAGCCCCCCCCTAAAAATGTTCTGGGGGTCTCTCCTCCCCGTGGGCCAGGCCTCCATCATTCTCGCCAGACTCTCACCCCACTGCTCCAAACTCCAACCTCTCTCCTCTTCTCTTGGCTTGGCCCAGTCGAGACTCCTACTCAACTGCTCCCAAGTCCATCCTCTCTCTTCTTCATGCTGCTTGGTCCTGTTATGGTGGTTTCTTCTGTCACGATCGTTGGTTAGAGATGAGGACCAAGGCGCAGCGTTGAAGGTGAACATATCCTTTTATTACTGATCACACGATCAAAACAATAAACGATAACGTGACGTCTACAGTTTAACACAAACCGAAATGAACAAGAAACCACAAACACAAAGTGAAAGACAGACAGTTAAATATGGCTCCCAATCAGAGACACCCAGCTGACACTCGTTGCCTCTGATTGGGAGTCACTCAGCCCAACATAGAAAATCAAACATAGAATTACACACCCTGGCTCAACATAACATAGTCCCCAGAGCCAGGGCGTGACAGGGTGTTTTGAATTAATCATCAGCTTAGAAAGCATTGGCCATTTCGTTGTGTTAGGCTTTGAAACAACATCCACAACAACCATGTTTTACACTGTTTCAACCTGCTGTTGAACCTCTTTCTTCAATTTGATCATCCCATTGAGGTGAGTTTTAAAAGTATGATAGGCCTACTGTTTTGAAGATACAGAGCAGTGATGTTTTGGGGCTGTCGCTGGGCAACACAGACTTTCAACTCCCTCCAAAGATTTTCTATGGGGTTGAGATCTGGAAACTGGCTAGGCCACTCCAGGACCTTGAAATGCTTCTTACGAAGCCACTCCTTCGTTGCCCGGCCGGTGTGTTTGGGATCATTGTCATGCTGAAAGACCCAGCCACGTTTCATCTTCAATGCCCTTGCTGATGGAAGAAGGTTTTCACTCAAAATCTCACGATACATGGCCCCATTCATTCTTTCCTTTACACGGATCAGTCGTCCTGGTCCCTTTGCAGAACAACAGCCCCAAAGCATGATGTTTCCACCCCCATGCTTCACAGTAGGTATGGTGTTCTTTGGATGCAACTCAGCATTCTTTGTCCTCCAAACACGACGAGTTGAGTTTTTACCAAAAAGTTCTATTTTGGTTTCATCTGACCATATGACATTCTCCCAATCCTCTTCTGGATCATCCAAATGCACTCTAGCAAACTTCAGATGGGCCTGGACATGTACTGGCTTAAGCAGGGGGACACGTCTGGCACTGCAGGATTTAAGTCCCCGGCGGCGTAGTGTGTTACTGATGGTAGGCTTTGTTACTTTGGTCCCAGCTCTCTGCAGGTCATTCACTAGGTCCCCCCGTGTGGTTCTGGGATTTTTGCTCACCGTTCTTGTGATCATTTTGACCCCACGGGGTGAGATCTTGCTTGGAGCTCCAGATCGAGGGAGATTATCAGTGGTCTTGTATGTCTTCCATTTCCTAATAATTGCTCCCACAGTTGATTTCTTCAAACCAAGCTGCTTACCTATTGCAGATTCAGTCTTCCCAGCCTGGTGCAGGTCTACAATTTGGTTTCTGGTGTCCTTTGACAGCTCTTTGGTCTTGACCATAGTGGAGTTTGGAGTGTGACTGTTTGAGGTTGTGGACAGTTGTCTTTTATACTGATAACAAGTTCAAACAGGTGCCATTAATACAGGTAATGAGTGGAGGACAGAGGAGCCTCTTAAAGAAGAAGTTACAGGTCTGTGAGAGCCAGAAATCTTGCTTGTTTGTAGGTGACCAAATACTTATTTTCCACCATAATTTGCAAATAAATTCATTAAAAATCCTACAATGTGATTTTCTTGAAAAATAATTCTCAATTTGTCTGTCATAGTTGACGTGTACCTATGATGAAGATTACAGGCCTCTCTCATCTTTTTAAGTGGGAGAACTTGCACAATTGGTGGCTGACTAAATACATTTTTCCCCCACTGTAAGTGGTTAGAGGGACAATAGAGCCCTGAGTACCAGGCCATTTAGGACCTGATGGTAGTTAGCAAGTTGGGTTCTACCAAAGCATGTCCAGAGTGCATAAAAGGAGATTCCCGTGACTCAACGGTCACGTGGAATTTTACAGCGGTCATGACTCATGTGTGGCGGTAATACGGTCACTGCAACAGCCCTTTTGAGACCGTATACCATGACTATGATGTTTAACCTTTTCACCTTGATATCACTGCGCCTTTTGACCTTGATAAAATGGCTACATCAACAATAGCTCTACATGCCCATGTAGAAAATAAGTGTTTAGATGAACTTGAGAGAAACCGAAGCGAAAAGAACACTGTTAAACAAACAAAGTGGGCATTTACCTGCTTCACTGAATGGTACGCGGAAAAAGGGATACATCGTGAGTTTGGGAGTGCAACAAAAAGATGAACGACATCCTACGGGACTTTTATGGTTCAGTAAGAAACATGAATGGCGAAGGATTAGCAGCTATGCTGGCCTCAGAGCTGGTTTGAACCAACATATCAATGACCCCCCTCTCAGTTTGGCATGGAATATACAGATTTGGCATGGAATACAGGACACCAAATTCACCATGAGCAACAATGTTTTAGTCTGCGTAATTAAAATGTTGAGGAAAGAGGGGCACGTCAAAGCTGCCCACCACGCAGCCATAACTGAAAAGGACATGCAGCTCATCAAACAATCCAAGGCTATTGGACACCAAAACACCTGAGGGTTTGGTGAACAAAGTGTGGTTTGACGTTCAACTTCATATTGGGCGAAGGGTGCAGGAGGGAAACCGTCTTCTGAAACCTGACTCATTTAAAATATGTACAGATGAGAACAGCCTACTCTCTCATTCAACGAACCCACAAAACACAAGGACCCACAGGAGACGAACAATGAGAGTGGACGGGGATCATGTTTGAACTGCCGGGTTATCCCCTCTACCCTCTCCCCTCTCTCCGGTAGCTTCGCTTATGAAGTATCTGTCCGTCCTTCCCTCTGACGCCCCAGGTTTGTACCTCCACCCGAAACGGAAAGCAGTGAACAGAGACTGTTAGCTAGCTAAATCAAATGTACCCTGACAATATAACCGGCAGCTATTTAGGCCTAACTATTAGCTAATGTTATTTTGTCTTTTATATGTCTCAGGTATACAAAAGAGCCGATGGGAGTGAACACCCTCACAATAATGTTGCCAAGGATCTGGAAAATAACTGGCATGTCGCAGATTTACACAAACCACTGCCTCCGAACCACCGTGGTCCAGAAACTGTCGGATGCTGGACGAAAGGCACGAGAAATAATGTCTGTCAGTGGACACAGATCTAACCTCTACAAAGTTACTGGAGGCCAAATCTGGAAGCGAGGAAGTGGTGGAGCACTATTCTCTCTGACAACACAGCAGGAGCTCCCCCAGATAAAAGAACGGCATCAATTTCCAGCAGCGTGGAGCCAACAAACGACAACATGGGCAAGCCAACAACAAACGATAACACGGGACCATTTTTTCAGTCATGCACAATAAATGGTAACATCCAGATCAACATTAATAAATAATTGCCTTGTGTTAGTCACTCTAGAAGTGGTGCTAAAGTAGTCTGTACAAAAGTCTTGTTGCTAGACTGGTTGCTATGCAACATAACCACAGGCTAGCTTGCTAGCTAGCCTGTGGTTATGTTGCATAGCAACCAGTCTAGCAACAAGACTTTTGTACAGACTACTTTTTCTGGCAGAATGTATTTATTATGAATGCCTTTATTAAAACAACATTTTCAATTCAAATATGTTGTTCATTGTCTTACTGTTTTGGCAAGCGGTTTATAAAAGCAATAAGGCATCTCGGGGGTTAGTGGTTTATTGCCTATATACCACAGCTAAGGGCTGTGTAGATTGCTGAGGAATTGTTTTTATTTAATCCATTTTAGAATAAGGCTGTAAAGTATCAAAATGTGGAAAAGTCAAGGGGTCTGAATACTTTCCGAAGGCACTGTATATATTAGGTGGCGTCAGAGAAAGGCCCAAAAATTGACTCCACTCATCCAAGTCATAGACTGTTCTCTCTGCTACCGCATGGCAAGCGGTACCGGAGCGCCAAGTCTAGGTCCAAAATGCTCCTTAACAGCTTCTACCCCCAAGCCATAAGACTGCTGAACAATTAATCAAATGGCCACCTGGACTATTTGCATTGACACCACCCCCCCTTTGTTTTTACACTGCTGCTACTCACTGTTTATTATCTATGCATAGTCACTTTACCCCTACCTACATGTACAAATTACCTCGACTAAACTGTACCCCGCACATTGACTCGGTACCGGTACTCCCTGTATATAGCCTCATTATTGTTATTTAGTAAATATTTTCTTGGCTATATTTTCTTAAACTGCATTGTTGGTTAAAGGCTTGTAAGTCATTATTTCACAGTAAGGTCTACACCTGTTGTATTCGGCACGTGACAAATAACATTTTATTTTTATTTTGACAAAAACACTGAGTATACAAAACATTACTGCTCTTTCCATGACACAGACTGACCAGGTGAATCCAGGTGAAAGCTATGATCCCTTATTGATTTCACTTGTTAAATCCACTTTAATCAGTGTAGATGAAGGGGTTGAGACAGGTTAAAGAAGGATTTTTAAGCCTTTAGACAATTGAGACATGGATTGTGTATGTGTCTCATTCAGAGGGTGAATGGGCAAGACAAAAGTTTTAAGTGCCTTTGAACAGGGTATGGTAGTAGCTGCCAGTCTCCCTGGTTTGTGTCTAGAACTGCTGGTTTATTCATGCTCAACAGTTTCCCGTGTGTATCAAGAATGGTCCACCACCCAAAGGACATCGAGCCAACTTGACACAACTATGGGAAGCATTGGAATCAACATGGGCCAGCATCCCTGTGGAACGCTTTCGACACTTTGTAGACACTTTGTAGAGACGAATTGAGGCTGTTCTGAGGGCAAAGGGGCACATTTTTATTAATTTGGACAACTTTTATTTTTCTTTCACTTTGAAAATGTGTAGTAGGTTGTGTAGATCAATAGGAACAAAATCCAATGTAATCATTTTTAGATTTAATTTTAAGGCAGCAAAATGTGAAGAATTGAATGGTGTGTGTAGACTTTCACTAGGGACTGTATTTCAAGACAACCTACCCTTCTCTTCTGAAAAATAACATAACATTGACATTAAACATGAAACGGCATAATTCAACATCCATCATGCGTGAAAAAAAAAAAGAATCACATGCATAGTTCTTATTCATAAATCACTTGTGTTGATTTCTGAGTTCCAGCTTTTAACTGTCATCTTTACGATTTGCAGGAACATTAGTTTAATATCTAAAGATGAAAAGTAAAAAATGAAATATATTTTAAGAGTGAATATTTACAGTATCCCTGGAAGGGGAGACCGGCTGCAATTGTAACACCTTGAATTTCTCCAAACTTAAACAAGCTAGAGTGATGAAACTCTCTCAGTACATGCACATTTAGGTTTTCTCCCTGCTTGAAACGTTTAAGCCATATATCTCACTATTTGCTTGTTTTATGGGCAAATGTTTGTTTTTAGGGGTGAAAGTAGTTTTTTCTGCCGGCTGTATTTTGAGGATTAATGTAAAAAAATTCAAAATAGCATAATTTTTTGCACTATATGTTGGCTAAACATTGACATGATTGACATGTGTCACCATTGTTGTCTCTTGCTAGGCACATTAGGTTTTGTTATGGCTGCTGGGTTGGGAGCAATTGTAACGCAGTGTTAAAATGAACCTGAGCCAAGCAGCCAAATTATGAAAAAATTGATTTTAACTTTACGGTTGCATGAATTACAAATCAATTATACAAAAAAAGGAACATTAAATAGCCTTGGGGTGCTGTAGATTGCCAAATAAGTTGTAAACAAATACAATATGGACACCATTAGACTATTCAGATGTTTTGCGAGGAACTGAATGGCTATGCACAAACAGGGGTCTTATTGTAAGTTTTGGTTACGTACATAGTGGCACTGTATTCTTTATGTCCATACTTCCAATACATGGAAGATACTTGTAGAATTTATGTGCCTCCTGTCGTACTGTATTGAAAATCTCTGTAGGCCTTTGGATTGTCTCTTTCCTTACAGAAAATAAATAATTTCAGACAGATGAGCCATGCCTTTGTACCACTGAATTATATTTTATTGAAGATGTCAGAAGGAAACCAAAAACTTGTCATCCAAGGAGAAATCCGGGCAGTCCAGTCCAACACCCCGACAGGCAGGGAGACGGAAAGTGTTTGCAGTATCTATAAGGTCAGGTGGAAACTGTCTGATTCTGTCTGTTTGTACTGTTGGAGCTCCCATCCAGACTCTGCTTTGAACCCTGTGACAGCTTGTGCTGATAGGAATAATTCCATCCCCGCCCAGTGCTCTTTGGAAAGACATGCATTCAAATGATGGCTTTCTCCAGGAGGCCCCTCTTGCTCTCCCTGTCTGGGACCCAAAAAGTGCCAAAGTGGGGATAGGCAGAATCACAAGTCAGGCTTCACTGGCAGGTAGTTGCAGTTCTACCTGTAGGGTTTTGCATCAAGCCAAGTAAAAGCAGACTTGAGAATAGCTGGGCATGGGCAAGGGTGCTTGTTGTTGTTTTCTTTGAGATAGGGCTTCCGGCTGCCCCGTGGGTATCAGAAGACTTGTGAGACATGGTCACTACATGGAATTACCTGAGCCTCTAAAAAGTATTAGTTCTGATACATGTGTGTTTGCATTTGTGTTCAGAACAGTATATGCTCTAAAGCTCGGTTTGACTGATTTAAAGGCAATTCATAACATACCAAAACCCATTCACATCCATCTCATCCAATTGTGTATGTGTGTGACTGTGCGTGTGTGTGTGTGTATGTACAGTAGGGCTGTCCCCGACTAAAAAACATCTTGGTTGACCGAAAATAGTCTGACCAATAGACATTTTTAAATGTGTATTTTTCCACATATAGACACAACCTATGTGTTTTAATAAAATCAACTATAAATACTACATGAACAGAAGTATGTGGACACCTGCTCGTCTAACATAGCGTTCTTCTGGCATCCGCCAAACCCAGATTAATCCGTCTGACTGCAAGATGGTGAAGCGTGATTCATCACTCCAGAGAACGCATTTCCACTGCTCCAGAGTCGAATGGCGGCAAGCTTTACACCACTCCAGCCGACTCTTGGCATTGCACATGGTGATCTTAGGCTTGTGTTAGGCTGCTTGACCATGGAAACCCATTTCATGAAGCTCCCGATGAACAGTTATTGTGCTGACGTTGCTTCCAGAGGTAGTTTGGAACTCTGTAGTGAGTGTTGCAACCGAGGACAGACGATTTTTACTAGCACTACACGCTTCAGCACTCGACGGTCCCGTTCTGTGAGCTTGTGTGGCCTACCACTTCGCGTCTGATCTCCTAGACATTTCCACTTCACAATAACAGCACTTACAGTTGACCGGGGCAGCATTAGCAGGGCAGAAATTTGACGAACTGACTTGTTGGAAAGGTGGCATCCTATGACGGTGCCACGTTGAAAGTCACTGAGCTCTTCAGTAAGGCCATTCTACTGTCACTTTCTCATGTGGAATGCCAATTTATCTTACCATTTCTACCAATCAGCATGCCAGTTATGGTTTTCATATGCACATTTTCATGGAACAGTTTCATTTCATTTATAAAAACATCTTCGTATCTCAAAAATATTGTCATGTGGTTAATCAAAATTAGATCCAAATCTAAATTAAAATTAAAATTAAATCTAAAAAAGTAACTTCCATTGCCATTGCCAACTACAGTATGTAAAAATTGCCTATAAAGCCAACAAATAAAAACATTGCAGCCTGCAGGTAGAAAATATCCTAATAAAAATAAATATCCTATAAATCACATTGGCTATGCATGGCCTGTCTGCAACGAACTTGAAACAATGTATCAACTATTAACTTGGGTCTGGCCTGAAGCTGGCACTAGCAAATTTGCATTGTATAAAATATTCTGGACACTCAGAGTTTCCCATGCCAGTGAGCTCGGTACAGACACAGCTGTAGGCTATTTGAGCAAGGGATAAGAAGTAATCAGGTAGGCCTATTTTAATAAGTTTACACTGGATCAGAGCATGACATTTTTCCCTTTCACACTGAGTGGTTATTGAAAGGGAGAGTGCTGAAAATGTTTTTCTAATACATTGAGAACTATTGTCATTCTCAATAGATGTAAAAACAGACTTTGTTTGCTTGCTATTTGAGGTGAAGAAAACATTACTTTGAGAATCTCCACAGATCATTAGTGGTGGTGCCTTAAGCCAATTAGAAATAC